TCAGTGTCAAGACCTGACTGAATTACTCAGAATAAGCAAACTGTACTCCAAGCCTTGTCAATAATTTTGTTAAACTAAAAAAAAAAAATCCCTTTCACCACTCCTTACCTCTCCCCTCCCTCCGTCACCTTCCTCCTTTTCATCACTCTTCTTTACCTCTCCCCTACCTCTCTCCCACACCTTCTCTCCATCCCCCATCTTCCTCCCTTTCACCACTCCTTACCTCTCCCCTCCCTCCCTCCCTCCCTCCCTCCCTCACCTTCTTCCTCTTCATCACTTTTCTTTACCTCTCCCCTCCCTCCTTCCCTCCCACACCTTCCCCCCCCTACACCTTCCTCCCGCTCATCACTCCTCCTTATCCCCCTCCCCTCACCAGTCTCGCCTCGGCCATAAACTCACACATTACACAAACTTTCCTCCTCCTTCCCAGCAAACTCTATTTTCTTAAGGGATTTACTGGCATATAAACCCAGTCGTGATCACCTTCAGTGCTGGTAATGACGCCTCGTGATAACGGCTCGCAGGTCAGACGGGTCCCATTCCTAGTAGTCCCCAGCCCTATTGGGCCCCAGTTCTAGTAGGCCCCATTAATACCAACATCCATTAGGAGTAGCCCCGAATCCTAGTGCTTAGGTAATTAGAATTGGTCAGTAATACTATTGATAAAGTTATGACCCATAAACAGTTTTAATATCAATATTAGAATTGGGGTTTTGTTAGAGTTATTTTCCAAGATTTCTAGTTAAGTTTGGGCCCATTAGAATTGGAGCGTATTTGAAATGAAACCCATTAGAACTGGGGCCTATTAGAACTATGCTGTATTAGAACTGGGGCCCATTTGAACTAGGGCCCATTATAACTGGGGCCTATTAGGGTTATAGGCCATTTAATTCAACCATTTATAGTGTGAGTTGAGTCTCATAAATACTAGATAGGACAAAGACCACACGAATAATTAAATAGGACTAAATTTCGCTTTCTGGAGGTCGTTAAGTATTCTGGACATTTGGCGTGGCGTGTGTGAATAATTTAAAATGAATTTCTTAATTTTACTACCTGTACTTTATACTTATAAGTTGAATTGGCGTAATAAAGCAATAAGCTAGGTCCAGTTTTGCTGTCTGTGGACCGCTAATTGCTTTGAAAAATTGGATGGGCGACCAGTTTATTAAGTTAAGGATTAGAGATCATTATTATTATTATTATTATTATTATTATTATTATTATTATTATTATTATTATTATTATTATTATTATTATTATTATTATTATTATTATTATTATTATTATTATTATGTTGTTGTTGTTGTTAGTAGGCGTATAGGGGTGGGGGACGTGCTGAGACGGCCCATTGGAAAATGCATAATGGAGGTGGTTAATGGTGATATCAGGGAAGCCGCAGGGAACCTGTAAGTATGTACTGGCCACCAGGCTGGGGGTGAAGCTGCCATTCACGCCATGGGAAAGATATTTGAGCAGCGTGATTGTGAGGCAGTACTCCTGGTTGAAGCTTTCAATGCATTCAACATAATCAACCGCAAGGCTACACTGCACAACATCAACATCAAATGTCCAAACTTTGCACTGTATGTTGCAAACACTTACAGGAACCCGACAGACCTCTATATAACAAGCTTCAAGGCCCTATGAGGAAATACCGTCATACAGACAACTGAGTGCCTCACAATGGCGATGAATTTTGGTGGGCAGCCAAAACGGCTGAGGGTCCACCAGAGGGCTTCTCTGTTGACCGAGTCGAAGGCCTTGGTTAGGTCTCTGAAAGCCATGTACTGGTCACGACGCTCTTCTCTGCACTGTTCTTGTATCTGGCGGGCAGCAAAGATCCAGTCAGTGGTGCCAAGTGATGGTCTAAAACCACATTGAGATTCTGAGAGGGAGTTTCCGCCTCAGGAAGAAGTCCGTTTAGGAGGACTTGGGCGATAATCTTGCCAGCTACGGAGAGCAGCGAGATCCCACGGTGGTTGCCACAGTCTGACCGATTTCCCTTGTTCTTATGAACAGTGACATTGGAGGCGTCTTTAAGAGCTTGAGGGATTTCCTCCTTTTCCCATATATTCTCCAGGAGAGTGTGGAGACGGCTGTTGAGCAGAGGTCCTCCTGCTTTATTCACCGTGGCTGGGATTCCATCACACACACACACACACACACACACACACACACACACGTAAAACAGTATCGTGCCATCCGTCCAATGACCCTTCGATAATTTAATCACTTTACAAAGGCAGAAGAAAACAAAAACAAAACAGGAATAATACAACCCGAGTCTAGGTCACTGAACCCTCCAAGTAATTACCTTCACAAAGAGGTGCTCCATAACTGAACTATGCCATTGAAGATCTTAATTAAACTGTGTGTGTGTTTTTATGTTAATATATTATTTAAGCTGATTGATTGCCTTAATGTAAATGATGTGTTTATAAAGTAGTTTGTAAATAAATATAAATATTCATATGTAAAGGTTTAAGGCACCCGCTAGTGTTGCTGCCTTGGAGTTGTTGTACGGGTCTGTGCTGGTATATCTATACTTATATTGATATACTGTATATCACTATACACTTTCTGATTAATTGCTGCGTGTCTTATTAAGTATGTAGTTTTTTGTTTATTAGCTTATTAAATGCCTTTCCTGCTTGATTTACTGATTTACGGGGCGAAGAAAAAAATTCCTCCAAGCCAGTGAGTGTTGTTCCCGAGGCCCCACCTCCCCTCCCGGCTCGCATGACGTTGCCAGACTCATGGTTCTTCAGCAAATAAACGCAGCCAGTGACCATTTCCACGGCCTGTTTTGTTATATATTTCTTGTACTCTGATTATTTATTTCTCTTTGTAATTTTCTTATATTTTTACCTGGGGGCATAAGTATTTTTTCATGATCATTCTTATCACTATTAACGTCACATTTGACAAGTTCAATATAATAGCGTTTGTATCACCATCATCGTCGTTTTCAGCATTATTATTCACCACCACCTCCACCCTCATCCCCACCACCACCATCACCACCACCTCCACCCTCATCCCCACCACCACCACAATCACCATCACCATCACCACCACCTCCACCCTCATCCCCACCACCATCATCACCACCACCACCACCACCCACCACCACCACCACCACCACCACCACCACCACCACCACCACCACCACCACCACAATCACCATCACCATCACCATCACCACCTCCACCCTCATCCCCACCACCATCATCACCACCACCACCCTCACCACCACCACCACCACCACCACCATCACCACCATCACCACCACCACCACCATCACCACCACCACCATCTCCACAACCTTTATCATCCTCATCATCGTCTCCTAACCTTTCATTTGGTGTCACCATGTGTCATCTGTATTGGATGTACTGCATTACCCTCCCCCTACCTCCCCTATCTCCTCTCTTCACCTTCACTCCCCTCTCCCCTTCACTCCCCTCTCCTCCTCACTCCCCCTCCCACTCCTTCCCTTTCTCCCCAAGAGTCCTTATGCCCCTAATCCTTAATGGACCTCAGACCGAGTGTCCCAATCCAAGTGGCCCTAACCCTAATGAGTTCTAGTCTTAAAGGACCCACAATTCTAATGTGTAAGAGTCCTAATGGGCCCCATGCTTAAAGGGCCCTAATCTTAAGTGACCCCGGTACTAATGGGGCCAAATATCAATAGTTAGGTTAAGATGACTCCCATAAAGGTGGTGGCTTTACAATTTCCTCCAAACTGGTGAGACGTGTAACGCATTTAGAAGCCAAATGGGCTCCAATCTTAATAGACACCAACCTAACTTAACCTAACCATTGGAATTGGGATACATTAGGATTAAGGCGCTGCAAGACCAGCCCCAATCGTAATGGTTAGGTTAGGTTAGGGCCCAGTAAGACAAAGGCCTGTAAAAGACTGGGGCCCACTCGATCGGTCACTGATTCCCGTTAACACTTAAAACTTTAATTATCGAATCTTAAAGTCATGGATGTGTGGATTTATTCTCTCTCTCCTTCCCTCTTCCTTGCCTCCTCTCTCTCTCTCTCCTTCCTTAACTTCCTACATCCTCCCATTTTCCCTTCTCCTTTCCCCCTCCCTCTCACCGTCCCCTTTCCTTCCTCCCTCTCATCTTTCCCCTGATTGTCCATCGCGGGCGGTGAGGTGGGCGGGAATCGAACCAACACACCACTTTAACATCATTACCACAAGACGCCGTCGCAGCCACCCCGCCTTCACGGCCCCTGTCCCTCGCCCACCTTAATTAATATTACAATCTATATGATGTTCAATTATTTCTCTTTTGTGATAGACTGGGCGAGATAACATAACATTTAATATTATTTACTAAATTCATCTTTCATTCAATTTCGTCTTTGGCCACGCTACACACCCCCCACCTTTTTCAGTCTCATTATTGTAAATTCTTAGTGTAAATTTACAGGTACAGTAGTAGGTAGTAGGCAGCTATCAAACAAGGAGGTACTACTGCTTGGGAAGATATAGGAAGCATAATGTGTTGTCTAATGGTAGACCCTGCTGCTATATGGTAACACGAATATTGTGACCAAGTCCCAGGTTGCTCATCTGACTGTCTGCCTCATTTACACAATTGTAAGGTCTCAATTGTTTCTCACTATTGATCTTTTTTTTTCTTTTTGTATTTATTTATGGGCTTTATTATTATTATTATTTTATTTTATATTTATTATTATTATTATTATTATTATTATTATTATTATTATTATTATTATTATTATTATTTTCTTCTTTTTGGTCAGTTTTCATGTTGTTTGCTTAAACCGGTGAACTCTTGTAGTTTCTCAATAGCCTTATTACTGGTCCATTTTGTATCAAATTTTAGTCGTAGAACATTTCGTTGTATGGAGGAGTGAAATGTTGTAGTCTTCTCCTTCTACATCTACGAGTGACGTGTTTATGTTATGAATTATTATTTTTTTTTTCAATTGCATAATGTGTCTTGTGTCAACAGGTTATTACGCCGAAGAGGAGGAGCTCCGGCGCCAGTCAGGGAACGGCACCAGCGGCAGCAGCACCACCACCCTCGTGGTGAACGTTACCACGTACACCCTCCCCCTCCCCCCTCACACCATCAACCGAGGGTCTACCAGCAGGGTAAGCCGCCCCCCGCCACCCCACGTTGCCAGCAGGGACAACAGTTACTCCTCCACCAACTCCACCATCAACAACACTGTTACCACCATCATCACCAATGGCACCACTATGTTTGGCAACGGCACCACCAGCAGGCCCGCCATGGGCAGGGTCTTTCCTCCTGAAGGAGGCTTCGGCCTCAACAAGCTCTCTTATGTGGGACCCATCGTAATGGGTTTTGGAGGTGAGTGTTAGTGTTATAATGTAAACCACAAACACACACACAAGAAGTTAATAATAATAATAATAATAATAATAATAATAATAATAATAATAATAATAATAATAATAATAACAATAATAATAATTTAGCAATAGTTCTCTGATCAATTAAACAATCACCAAAATTAACAAATGCGGACAACAGGCAGACGACCGACAACTGTCCTCCAGTGGTGGAGGCGTATTTCCCTTTCTTCTTCTTTTTAATTTATTAAACATTTTTTGAAGAACCTTTTTCTTACCAGTTATGTTCAATGCTATCAACAAATATATTTCGTTAAATGTATCGAAGATAATATATTATAGATTATAATATATAGATAATATGTAAAAATATGCAAATGTATTTATATGATCCTGAAGAGTTAGGTCATTATTAACGACTGACCTGCCGCCTAATTTTCATCGAAAATGAATTTTAAAACGTCGTAATTTAACTGTGTTGTGCAGTGGACAGTCGTAGTTTAGGCAAATATGTTATTTTTTTTTATTATTATTAAACCTAATCAACCTTAGTTGATAAGAAACAGAAGTGGCCAAAGCATTGTTAGATGACCACACTCACCTAACCAAAGAAACTTACTTAACCTTATTTTCACTTACCATACACAGTCATTATCCCTTACTCTCTCGTCCCAGAAATATTAAGGAAACTGACGATAATATTGAAGGACAGTAACCCAGTCTATTTTGGATATTTATTACATGTCTAATGAAATAAATGTTCTACTACTCAAGTTCTATTATGTAAGTGTCTTAAACTTCGGATTTTCAAGTTTTAGTCGTTAATGGAACTTATACAAACCCTTTTAGTTCCCAGAGTGAGGTCACCCCTTGAGTACAGCAAATTTACTCATTGAGTAGAAGAGATCTTGACCCTTTGAGTGCGATGATTTAATTGAGAACGATGACACCCTCTTAAAGAGCTGTATGTTGGTGAGATCCCCCTAGTAGTGACGGTGCCAGCGGCCATTACCGAGTTGGTACTTTATTAAACCGTGAAAGAGGAGGTTCATTTGTCACACTGGTATGTTTTCGTGGGATGTGTTAGGATTAGGGAATCATATGGGGATTTCCTGATATTTGTAGGATACGAGGGCTTATATAAACTTAATTCCCATGCAGATGTTGTGGCAGTCCTCTCCCAAATTGTTGTACACACACACACACACACACACACACACACACACACACACACGTCAGGAGTTAGTTACAACAGTGCTTCATTTGACCACTTTTCTATATCTGTTCAAACAAATATTGGGTCATCTGCAGCCTAAGTCGAGGTAATGTATACAGTGTTTGATCGAGTAAAATGGTTCAATATTTACACAGGCTTGGGAAAAGATGATCTCTGTGTTAGGGAATCACACTTTGAATGTAAAAGTGCACTACACTAACTTACTACCTGGTAGTTGTACACACTCCTGTTTACCTGTTAGGTTATTGATGGAATAAATTTCATAAAGTGTAAGTGTAAAATATGCACAATTTTGTTGGATGTAGAAGTCTGGACATTTCTAATTTTATTACATACACAAATTTATGTTATTCACTGCCCAGGGGTGTGTTGTTTACACAGATTTCTTGTTGTCTGCGCATATACGTTACGTCAGGACTAGCCAAATTAGTAGTTCCAGCAAGTATAGGGGGTTGATTCCCCAGGCCTCGGGGCCCTAACTTGTGTTAAGAGGATCTAAAAATCGAGTGAAGTCGAAAATTGAGTTAAATTTCACACTCGTACTGGAAACAGAAAGGAAATGGCTGGCATGAAGGTCACACTAAAATAGTTGAGACTGAAGTTGTCTTGACGCTGAACATAACACGTACACTCCGATCTGCTTATTTGACGCTGGGTAAAAGATGGCGTCACCAAAACCACCACTCGGATGAAGCCACACTACCACATACATAGGCTGCTCTTACATGATGGGCGGCTGAATATTTCTTTTGATTTTCGACACATACTTAGTAACTCACCATGTTACGCTGAAATGTGAGTTACTGTTTCGCACTACAGTGGCTTTTATCGACTGGGTCTTGTTCCAAGGTTTATCACCCTCACAGGGACTTGTCTACAAGATAATATCACTCCTCCCATCGTCACGAGTCAGTGTGCTGTTAGAATCTTAAACCTTGATCTTCCCTCTGTTATTTATTTTTGCTAAATGAACATGGAAAATAATATAACGGTAATATAGTTATTGTTGTATTTGATTAGGAGATTGAAAATATAATTGAAACCAGACATAGAGACAAGTGTCCCTTGTCCTAGAGAGTATTAAAATATGACGCTAAAAATTCAACTATATAGTTAGTATTGCTAGTTTCTGTGGTCCAACGTCTCATGTCATCAAGAATGTAAACAAGGTTAACTCAAACACTAGATCTTCCTGTGCACAAACTAATAGTTAGTGAAGTGAACTACCCAGAAGTGAGGTGTGTCCTCCATGTGTTGGGTTAAGTCATTGGTATAAACATTCCTCCTGGTTGAGACTTGGGCTTTGATCCTGTGTTGTTACGGTTATGGCGAGTCTTTCTGTATAACACTTAGCCTAGGTGCACATTGAGGCACAAGCGACATAGGAGATGCAATGTAGGGCAGTGCAGTTTTTTGTGTCTAGTTATTTCATGTCAAAGACTGCACATTAGGCACAGGAGTGTGTCGAGCTGCGCGGCGTAGTGGTTGAAACAGTTTATGCTCGACATGTGGCTGTGTCAGGTGTTTCAAGGCATAGAATTATCGATTTTTCATATGGCGGAGGAACTTATAGAGGCTGCACGGAGTCAAAGGTACTCTATGACAATAGCCATCCTGACTATATGAAAGCCATGCTGAAAAATGACATGTGGGATCGAATAACTGAAGCTTTCGTGTTAGAAGATGGAAGCAAACATTTAAAATCAATAACTCCATCACGCAGCAAGGCAGACTTATTGTACTGCGCTGTGCTGCCCTGCTCTTTGTATATCCTTCCCTATGTCTACCCTGTTCTGAGCTGACCTGCGTCTCAAAGTGCGCTTAGCCTAGGTGCTTGACCCCGGTCTGTCACGTTTTGAGGCGACTATTTCTCCGGTTTACCTTTCTTAACGGAGGGTGGGGGCGGCTTGATAGACGATTTCCCGCTCTTCTGGTCGGGTTTAATAAAATATTTACACCGAGTCCTCTTCCAGTTCTCTTACATGAGCCGAGGAGGGGAGAAAAGTTGAGCGTGACCACAGCAGCTGGTGGTCCTATAGTGGGTGGCTGATTAACTCCTGTTCAAGGATTCTGGTGCAGGATCCCTCGCCAGGCAAGGGAATGAGGTGGAAAATGAGAAAACCTGTTGGTAATTTAACCCTGAACTTAAGGATCTCAAACATCCTCCGGAATTATTTGGCTGAAATATTGAACGAAAACGTAATTTGAATTATAGTGGCTGGCTAGTTTTAGGTAGAGGTTCTTCCACGTTCTGACGTCTTCTGGAAGTAATTCTGAACATCGCGTGAACGAAAGAGGAAATTCCTGACGTAGGATTAGGATCATCACCACTAAGCACGCGAGATGGATCTAAAAGTGTGTCCTTTGGTAGACTTGTTGACTTAAAAGATACCGCCTAATAAGTTTCTATTACTAAGCATTGTAGGAAGTTCCCAGCTCTCAGGTCTCAATTACTGGTACGTGTTTCATCCTTGAACACAACAAGCAGCTGTAAGAACTAATGTCTCTCTTGGTCTCCTATAATATACACTAGACAGCTGTAATCAATCAAGAATTTCGTGGTCAGTGAGCAGTGTTGAGTTTCAGCATGAGTCTGGTAGCTCTTCTCTGTATACTCTCGATCAGCTGACAACATAAACACACCTTAGATACTCAAGTAACTGGAATATTAACACATGGTACATTGTTAACACGTTTGTCATATCTGCCATTCAGAATAATGTTTTCTTTGGGGTAGGAAAATATGTTGTTTTTGTTGTATATTTTATAGAATAAGTTGAACATCGTTTTGTTGTTCTTTAATGCCACAGAACTGATACTTTATTTTCAGTTGTGTTACGTCACACTTAATGAATACCCTGGAGAAGCTTTTACTGAGTTAACGTAGACAACGGTGTTCCTTCACTCTTATCAAATACATACGAACTCATCATTTTTTATTTATTGGTGTTAGCAAATGATCTCTCGCCATACGTATAATAGTCCCAAAGACATAATTAAGTTCGTATCACAATTTCCATCACAATAAAATTTCTTGTAAGTATAAACGTAATGACTTCCTAGAGGCGACTGGATAAGCACTAGACGGATCAAGATATAATATAGGATAACAAAGCCTTAAATATTCAGTTTATTTTACGTCTTTTCGCCTTAGGATTGACGAGTGTTGTGCATATTGATGATCTGCTCATAAGGGCATTGAAACATTCCAGAATACACCTGAGGATTACTCACTTATTCAGACCTGTAATCGCTAATTATAATTATTGTTTCAAAATATTGCACAAAAAATAATAAAATTGGTCGAAATAAAGCTTTATCAAATCTCTTTTTATACGCTGTCCAAAAGTTGCACCAGCTTCTGTGATCACGTCTGACGTATTCACAAAACTCTCTCACAGACCAAACTTTCCCTTGAAAAGAAAAAAAAAGTTTTATAAGCGCTGTGTGTAGGACGGTAAGGACCACTGGGGCGGTAAAGACCCTTAGGAAGGTGAAGTCCCCTGGGGCGGTAAGGACTCCTGGGACAGTAAGGGCCTGTGGGACGGTAAAGACCCCTGAGACGGTAAAGACCCCTGAGATGACAAAGACCCCTGAGACGGTAAAGACCCCTAAGACGGCAAAGACCCGTGGGAAGGTAAAGACCCCTGGGATGGTAGAGACCCGTGGGACGGTAAAGACCCCTGAGATGGAAAAGACCCCTGAGACGATAAAGACCCTTGAGATTGTAAAGACCCCCTGAGATGGAAAAGACCCCTGAGACGATAAAGACCCTTGAGATTGTAAAGACTCTTGAGATTGTAAAGACCCCCTAAGACGGTTAAGACCCTTCAGACGGTAAAGACCCCTAGACGATAAAAACCCCTGAGACGGTAAAGACCCCTATGACGGAAAAGACCCATGGGACGTTAAAGACCCCTGATACGGTAAAGACCCCTGAGACGGTAAAGACCCCTTTCTATACTCGAGAAGCACAAGGAATGAAATGGGTGAATAATGATGATATTCGACAAAAGGGAACTTGCACTAGTACGGTAGCATGAAATAAAGTTGTTTGTAGTGAACTAATTCTCTGAGTAAGGTTACCTGTATACCTTTAGGAAGATGTATCTGTGATTGGTGGGTTAGTCTTTCATGTAATCTCTCCTATGATTGGTAGGTTAAGTCTTCAAATAACATACTTGCTCAGATTGGTGAGGTGACCTGAGAGCAACGTCCCTTGTAATTGGTGGGTCGACCATTCAGGCACCTAGTACTGTGATTAGTAGTGTCGTATGTGTGGGTCACCTGGAAGTAGCATGGTGTGAGGCTGTCTCGTCAACGCTTAGTGATCCGTTACCTTCATCTTGACAAACACAGCGTCTCTCTCTCTCTCTCTCTCTCTCTCTCTCTCTCTCTCTCTCTCTCTCTCTCTCTCTCTCTCTCTCTCTCTCTCTCACTTTATTACCTGAATGTCAATTAGCAAACCCTGATGTGCCACACCGAATTGTTGCTGTGGTGAGGTAATAATGGTGATTAAAATAGTAATAATAATAATAATAATAATAATAATAATAATGACTAAAATAATAATTATTATTATTGCTATTATTATTATTAATGACAATAAAAGCCACAACAATAACAAAGCATATCATTAACACCACCACAACAAAAACAACAATAATAATGATGTTAATAATATTAATATTAATAAATTTGATTTATTAAAGTCATCACACAGCCTTACAATTGGTTTGGCATGTGTGTAGACTATGTAGGTGTACAGTTCAGCATGTGTACACACCTGTAGATCGTGGTGGTATACATTTTTCATTGTTCCAAGGTAGTGCAGATATAAAACAATAGTACACAGTCCTAATTGGCACTAATAATCATCATCATCATCGTTTTACTTGCGTGGGTTAGCCGAGATTACCTTATAACGGCTCTCCATGTTGCACGGTCTCTTGCAGTCTCTCTTGTCATTTCTTACAGCCTCTCCCCATGTTATTCTTGGCCTACCCTTGGCTCTCCTCCTCTCCATATTTAGACTCTTGCACCTCTTGACCCAATTGGTCTCACCCATTCTTTCTACATGCCTAAACCTCTCAACTTGCCTCTATGCAGAACTTCGCCAATACAGTACAGTACTCTCAATACCCAGCCTAGCTCTGAACAGGGCCTCCTGTCTTCCAATGTCACATAACACATCCACTTCACCATCTTCATTTCACCTCACTCAATTCCACGTATTTATATCATCCTCTTTAACTGCCCATTTTCATTGCCATACAACATCACACTTGTCACACTAGCTGCCTACATACATCCTTTTACTCTGAGGAATAATTAGGATTAGGGTTGATCAGAACATGATCCAGTAGGATTCGGTTTATTGGATATTAGGGCCAATTAGAATCGGTACCTTTAGGGTAGAAACCCATTAAAACAGATACCATTAGGAATGGGATCTAATGGATCAAGATCCATCTGGATATATGGTCTTATGGTAGCTAACCGGGAGCTGTGCGTGTGTGCGTAAGTGCGTCCGTGTGTGTGTGTGTTTGCATCCGTGTGTGTGTGTATGTGTGTGTGTGTGTGCGTACGTGCGTGCGTCCGTGTGTGTGTGTGTGTGTGTGTGTGTGTGTGTGTGTGTGTGTGTGTGTGTGTGTGTGTGTGTGTATGTGTGCGTGTGTGTAGTAACAGGTCCTAACTGTTCTTTTTCTTGCAGGATTCGTCATCGTAGCTGCCTGTGTAATGACCTTTGAGGCCCGGGACAGCGCCGCCAAGATCGTGCCAGCCAGGTTCCGCAAGACTTATCCGGAGAGGAAGAGCAATGAGGAAGACTCCGGGATGCGCAACTCATCTTGCCAGACCAAGTGGGAGACTCTGGGGTTGTACGGATCTGAACTGATGCGACACCAGAGCGGCCGAGAGCTGTCCCGCCGTGCCATGACCTTTGCATTTATCCAGTTCTCCAAGAATCTACAGACCAGTATGGACTCAGCCGTTGAGTATTACGACTCCCGCGGGTCTCATCCCAAGTTGGTCAAGTGTCCGTCTGCGCCGTCCCTCGTGCGCCCCTTCCACCAAGGTGAACGACGGATGAACGAGCCCCCAAGGGTGCTGAAGGTGACAGCGCGCCCTGCCCATCCCCCTCACAGTCCAAGGGGGCGTCTCACCCCTAACAGTCTCCCTCGCCAGGCTATGTCCGTTGACAACCCGGCCGTGAGAGAGGTGTACAATGCTGCCTACACAGCGTTCATTGGTGAACGAGGCGACGAAGACTTAGAGCTGGGTGCCTCGGCCACGGGCGTCCACCAAGCAGGCAGTGAAGCGTCCCTGGCCATGGACCTCCACCTGCCTCAGTGCTCCGTAACTTTGGCCGTCCGCGATCAGAGTCGCTCACCCAGTAACACCCGCACAGACTTCGACGAACCATCAGCCGCCAGCCCATTACTTGACCCAGATATGGAGGCCGCTGGGCCCTCGGGTCTGTCTTGTATAAAGGTGGACAAACAGACCTCTACATCTGATCACCTGTCGCTCGGTCTGCTAGGAATATCGCGTTGCGACACCTGGGGGTCACGGGACATCTCCGGTATGTCCGGTCGGGCTACTAGTGGCGGATCCTTCCGGGAAGCGAGACGCCCCCGACCCTCGCGGCGTGTTCGTCGTAGCGAGACCATCGACACTGCCACCGCTGCCGCCCGACGGTCTCAGCGTCACTACTCCGGGTCCGGCAGGCATGGCTCCGTACGCAGTAGTTCCAGTCGAAGTGCAGCGGAGGCGCGGAGGTTGCATAACACCCGCAGCGAGACTGCCCGACGACACCAGTTCCTCCGCCAGCAAAAGATTGAGAACGGCGAGTCTCATGAAGATATTGCGGGCAGAGGACATTTTGATGTCTAGGGTCGTGACATAATACCTCACCTGAGGTCTTGCTTATTACATAGCTGGATATTTGAAGGTTTATCTTGTGTGGCAATCAGTATGTTTGTATTTCATATATACTGTTTATGAACATGGCAAAATACGTGTTAGGTAACTGTGCAATAAAAGGCACTAGGAGAGAGAATGCTGCATAGCAATACTTGTGTGTATAGGGGGCGGGGTGCAGCACCTAGGCCGCGGGACACATCTTTGCTCATAAACACTACCATAGGCATTATTATTACACGCTGTGGAGCATCGACAGTTTTCTTATAAATTTGGCCTAATTTTTAATGCACCATCGGTTACAGTCACTTAGGTAAAACTTTAAATGAGACACATTTCAAGAAACATTGTTGTGCGCGCTAGACGCCTGACACTTTGAACATCTAATATTTTCTTATCTTGTTCACAAAATTTCTGAAATTCGGTCTCCTACTTCTGGGGTTGAGCGCTCATAATACCCGCCTGTAATATGCTTTGATACTGCAAACTTATCTTCGTGTTTTATTGGTATTACAGAACACATAACGGGGAACGAATTTGATAACTAAATATTTTAGAAAGAGACTATGGTCATGTTTGTAGCATCAGAAAAGCGTCAAGTAAACGTTCATATCAATACAGTATACTGTAAACAGTATATATATATATATATATATATATATATATATATATATATATATATATATATATATATATATATATATATATATATATATATATATATATATATATATATATATATATATATGTGTATATATATATATATATATATATATATATATATATATATATATATATATATATATATATATATATATATATATATATATATATATATATATATATATATATATATATATATATATATATATATATATATTACTTGATTGATAAGCTTATATTTTTTGGTATCAATGATAGTTAAGAAAAAGTAAAGATATGTACAGAAGGTGTGATGAAGTGTTAGACGTTCCTAATTAGTCCCCACAGCGTCCTTCATAGAGCTTTATATAGAAGTTATCACAGCCAAGATTAAGGATGTAAATATGCTTAGCAGGAGAAGCATCTTCAACAAGAGCCAACAGTAAGCCATGGTCTAGCACATCCTCATGCCCTCATAAGTCTTCCAGAGAAAAATTTTGTTTTTCGTTGGGGTTATTAGGAACACTCAATGGTTACCTGAAGGGACGCTCATTCGAGGGTATATTTTAATTAAAAGGATTGCGTGGAAAGGGTGAAATGGTGTTATTAGTCGGGCGATGATCATTGAAGTTCATGTTCAAAGCTGTTTGTACCCTCAGGCTTTCAATTGTGAGATAGCAGTTAATTAAGGATATTACTAACGGTGAATGTGTTGCAGCATTCATTCCGCATATTTGCCTCAGATCCATGAAATAATTTTATATTTTCATTATATATTTATATAAAGTAAAAAAAAACTACGGTGTCATAGTTACAGTAGTTACGCTGGTGTTTGTCTGGCTCGTCAGAAGAGAAGGTAATCTCTCGTAGTTATTATGACTGTGTTCGGTAATAATGGCGGTGCAAGTGAACACTGTGTGGACGACACCAGAGCTTTGGACGACTGGTCAAACGGGCCACCTTAACACAATTCAAACATAGGTTTGGGAGCTACTGGTGGCCACCACTTTTAGACTTTGGCACAATTAACCACAATCAATTTTTCTGCACACTTTTGTTCCTACGTTAAGTTTATGCAAATGTAAAGTTTCTGTATCGAGCTTTTGCAAAAATGAGAGAATAGGCCACCGCTGTATACGGCTGTCTACGTAGTGGACCAAGGTACATTAAGTTACATCGTGGACCAAGGTACATTAAGTTACATCGTGGACCAAGGTACATTAAGTTACATCGTGGACAAAAAAATTTTTACTCGCCAAAACGAATGGAAATAAAAGATGTATAATTACGATAAATATTACTGACTATTGGGTGATGTGGTTTTATGATAAGTTACTTGTGAAGTGGGCTCCAGTCCTTAAAAGCCCCAGGGTAACCTAACTACATTAATACTGGGGCCCATTTGGACAGTGGCTCATGAGGACTGGGCCTTCATCCTAATACTTATTGATGGCCTCAGTTCAGTTGGGTGGATGAGGACCTGGATACACAAACCTGTGTTTTGGTCCAGAAAACATCTGAAGTAACATCAGTAAGTAATGGTTATTCTTGAACCTATGAAGACTGGGTCCATTTCACCAGTCATCTTATGAAGTAATGATGTAAGACAAATAACAAACGAAATGCCACTTCAGGCGAGTGAGTTTTACTTTTTGTCAGGTCGCCTGGGCTAGTGTTACTGTACCCCCAAGATACTTTGGCTATGAAATTTAATTGATAATTTTACTGTGAGTTTTGGTCGTGTTGGTTGACCGACAGATGGTAGCATATATCAGGTAGATTGTCACGGCAGCAAAACCCAGTGACAGCCAAGTCTTCAGTAGGAAGTACTTTGTATCTGAATGACGTATATATGAGGGACACATGAGCAATGCGTCACATCATTTGTCGTGCTGTTACATGTATAAAAGTTACTTGTCGATCAGTAGATATGTTGCTGTTTTATCTTTATTAAAGACTAAAGTTTCTGGGCAACTTGTGTGTAACTGAGAAGCACTTTGATTATTTAGCTTCAATGATAGTTAAAGAAGATCCATGAAGTGTTTGACATTATCCTCGAGTTATTGAGTTTCACAGGTTTCACTTTATATTGTTTTGATATAATTTAACATTAATCGGTTAACTCACCACCCTTATACTGTATATATTATAATATACAGATTATTTCATGCAAGGTGACGAGGTATCTGTCCATATTGTCTGTTGTGAGTGCAGGTATGCAGGACAGTAAGGGCTTAATCCCATGGCTTAACTCAGTGCCAGCCCATCACACCGTGTTTATCCGTGAGGAATCATTGCCCAGCTATATATGAGTTCTTTATTTATTAGTAGTAAAAAATATTAAGATGCAAATAAATGGCACAAAAAATCAAATTTCGCTATAGGATATGGTTGAAACTTATATCTTGCAGTTGACATCACAAGATATCATCAGGATATTCGCAGAACACTTTACAAACCAAGCGCGTTGTTATCCTTCTCCTGTAGAGGTGAAAGACTAGAGAGCTTTAGCTCTTAAAATTTTTAGATGATGTTGGAATGGTGGAATTACTAACCTTGTTTCGCACTTAAAGACCTTAGTTGTTGAAGCACAGTAAGAACATTAGAACAAGAAGCCGAACACTACAAGCTGATCACCAGGATAATATGCGTATAATACTCCCAGGTTTAATGGATATGTAGTCTTGAAATTATATTCCTGTCAAATGGAAGTCAAAAGAACAAGTAAACGTAAATCTATCACTAGCTAGTCTACGGACTTGGCGCACCCTCATTCAACTACTACAAATCAACGACCGTCGGTTTCGGAATGTTGGCAGAAGGGAGTAACATTTCTGACCGCGAGCTGGACATTGACTATGGAAAGAAAAACGAAAATGAATTTTACGATAATATAAAGAAAGAATTTAATTAGGTAAGAGGTGCACATTATATTATAATTGTAGACTCATCATTGTAGCACTCGGCACATCGGAAAATGAATTCACTTGAAAAAAATAATTATGATCCACCTCGTAACCTTAGCGACATAAATTATAAATGTATAGCCAATAACCATAGTTTCAAAGGCGCTCTATAACACTAATTTCCTGTATCTAAGGATGAGGGCGTGGTTATGGTGGCGGGTGGTGGTGGCTGCGGTGGTAGTGGTGGCTGTGGTTGTATTGGTGGCTGTGGTGGTGATGGAGGAACTGCGGGTGGTAAAGGTGAAAGGTTGTACTGCGTGTGGTACCACTGGCGGCTAGGCCACCCCGCTCCTCTTCCGCCCACCTGTTGCTGGAGGTCCAGCTGTGTGGCCACAGTACCTCACCGCCTGTTGCTGGAGGGTCCAACTGTGTGGCCACAGTACCTCACCGCCTGTTGCTGGAGGTCCAGCTGTGTGGCCACAGTACCTCACCACCTGTTGCTGGAGGGTCCAGCTGTGTGGCCACAGTACCTCACCGCCTGTTGCTGGAGGGTCCAACTGTGTGGCCACAGTACCTCACCGCCTGTTGCTGGAGGGTCCAGCTGTGTGGCCACAGTACCTCACCACCTGTTGCTGGAGGGTCCAGCTGTGTGGCCACAGTACCTCACTGTTGCTGGAGGGTCCCTGTTGCTGGAGGGTCCAGCTGTGTGGTCCACAGTACCTCACCACCTGTTGCTGGAGGGTCCAGCTGTGTGGCCACAGTACCGCATCACCTGTTGCTGGATGGTCCAGCTGTTTGGCCACAGTACCTCATCGCCTGTTGCTGGAGTTTGGGTGGTCCAGCTGTGTGGCCATTGTACTTTACCACCTGTTGCTAGAGGGTCCAGCTGTGTGGCCACAACACTCACCACCTGTTGCTGGAGGTTGGGTGGTCCATCTGTGTGGCCACTGTACCTCACTACCTGTTGCTGGAGGTTGGATGGTCCAGCTGTGTGGCCACTGTACCTTACCACCTGTTGCTGGAGGTTGGGTGGTCCAGCTGTGTGGCCACTGTACCTTACCACCTGTTGCTGGAGGTTGGATGGTCCAGCTGTGTGGCCACTGTACCTTACCACCTGTTGCTGGAGGTTGGGTGGTCCAGCTGTGTGGCCACTGTACCTTACCACTTGTTGCTGGAGGTTGGATGGTCCAGCTGTGTGGCCACTGTACCTTACCACCTGTTGCTGGAGACCGATTGGCCCACCTATAATCCATGACACTCGGCTGAGTAAGCTCTTATTATCTGCTAGAGGGAACACTTGTATTCAAGTTATCGAAATAGCAAAATTGTACCTTTAAAGACACATACTGAGTTAATTAAAGCTCTGAGTTCAACTCGTACAATCATGCCATTTGAAATGCACATCACAGACGCTACTAAATCAGTGGTTTACTGTAATACTGAGCAAAAATAATCCCAGAGCCTGAATTTCGTAATAAAACCGCTGATTGGGTTAGGTTCAGCTAGGAGTAGATTAGTTAAGTTCCGTCTTTGGATTTCGTGAGTTTCAACATTGGTCCTATTTCGATACTTAGTGATGCAATTGTGGATTTGTTTTTCTTGGAGCTCAATGCAAGCATCCGTAAACAAAAAATACCCTTTTAATACGTTCAATTGATTCTTCAGTCTGCTTGCTTCCTGATGATGGTGTGTAGGCAAAGCCGAGCGGGGTGTTGTTCTCCTCGACGCGAAGAGCTGAGTTTAGGTAGCGGCTGCTGCAAGTCATATGAACCTCAGTCCGAATAGGTCCCGAACAAACCTGATCATTAGGACTGCCGTCCATTAAAATTGAAATCCTTAAGGACAAGGGTCTCTTAAAACTAGACCTAAATCCTAATGATAAAGTTGAAGCCATTTAGGATAGAAACAACTATCTGAAGTTCAGTTATTGAGATTTAAAGTGAAATAATGGTCGGGAATTGCAGCAGATGAAACAGCGATGCACAAGTGAATAACGCTGGATCTGGAACTTTCGGTACCGGGAAAACATTATTTAATACATTTATAACAATGACATCTGTTAATATTGAGTTTA